AGAATCAAAAGGCCAGTAAGAGCTAAGAAGTCTCAGAGGGACAGTTGAAACCAAGATCTCTTATCCCAAGTACGCACCCTTTCCAAGTCTAGCCTAACCCTGTGTCACGTCTAAGTATCCCCAATGGGTGATCAATACTCAGTGCTCCAAGGACAGAATGCTCAGCAACTGGCAGGGAATTCTTTTTCACTGGAAAAGCGTAGTCATTGGAGGTTTCTTCTGGTTTAAAAAGAAGAATAGGGTTGAGGGTGCTGTTAGGGGGCTCTTCCTACCGAGCAGTCTGGTGAAGGCGTCGTGGTGCTCTGGCAGCACTGTAGACACCCGCTGTCGCTTCAGTCTCATCTTGAGCCCACAGAGGGACTCCACCACCCAGACGTCCTCAGCATCAGGGCCTCTCTCCTCGTCTGTCTCCTCGTCTGTCTCGTCCTGGAAGGCTGCTGACCACACCCTCTTGAGGCCAGAGGACTGAGGCAGGGGGCTGGAATCTACCCGGGGGGCTGAGTGAAGAAACCAGGCTACAACTTAAAGCTTTTGTCTTTACAATTAGGACATTGGTCACCCAAGCCCCTCAAACCCCACCAGACAACCAAACCTCCTCTCCATTCTCTCCAGTCTCAGAGACTGTTGGCCTTCTCCCTAACCATCTTTCCATCCTGCTCCTTCGTTGACATCCATCTGGCCCGTTCATCTTGTCTTTGTTCCCTCACTCTGTCCTCACAACTCCTCCTCATTATAGAGATTTTCTCCCATTGGGGGGAAAAAAGGAAGCCTCCACTTGTTTCCTCTCTTCCCTTTTCTCATGCTTGGATCTCATCTCCTAAGCCTCCTCCCTTGCTCCCCAGGTTTCCCTTCCACGTGTATATCCTTGTCCCCAGCTCCTGTGCTCTCCTTCTCCAATCCCTGGCTTCTGCATCTCTCCTTCTTCCACACACAGCCTACTCAGGTACTCCTTCCTCACTTCTGTTCCCTCTCCTCCTTACTGGTCAACCTCTCAGACCCCTTCCCACTCCAGCTTCCTCACCTGATGGTCCTGGGATTTCTTCACTCACTATCACCTCCAGGGGGTACCCTGACGTGCTAGGCTGGGGGCTCTGGTGCTCAGGCTGGGGACTCGGTGGACGACTGGTCATGATTTCTCCCAAACTCTTTCTTCCCTTCCAAGAAACCTAGACCCTGTTCTGTCCAAAGTCCTCTTCTGGATTCTGGCTGAACACAAGCCCGTTATCCCTTCTCCAGGCTGAGGAGAAGGAGAAGCTGGGAGTGGAGAAAAGCTCTGAGAAGATGCTGTTGTCCACCTCCGCTGCCAAGCACCACGGAGTTTCGTCCTTCCAATCAGGAAGGTCGGAAGCCTCTGATGTCATCGTCATTCCAACCTGGCAACCAGTTTGAAGGAAAACTCATGTAACTGCCAGACCACTGTGTGTACTTCTGGAGATCAGGGGTAAACCATACCTCCTGCCACTGACCCACCCTCTGACCATCCTCCACAAGCCTCCTGAAGGTGTCCGGATCACTCCTTACCCCTCCCCAGCAGATGCCCTGTTCTCTCCATTCTAAACTTGAAACATGTAAAACTTCTCCCTCCCTCCCATTCCCATTTCAGAGCATGGTCTGCTGGAGAGGGAGGAGAGTGACGAGAAGACTCAGGGTAAGCGGAAGTGTGGAGACCTTGCAAGAGTGAGTTACGTATGTAAAGACCACCCCAGGTACACTGACTTGATTAAAAAGTTACTAAAACACTCAATTTGGCCAAGCTCTTCTGCTCCGTTTTTACCGACACTATGTTCAGGATTCTGTGCTGGGGGACGCACATCCTCTATCCCCAGGCATCTTTGAGTCCAAGAGACATTTTGAGAACCTAAAACCATAGAAAACTGTACATGTGCCCACACACACACACACACACACACAGATACAGACACACACTTCACATGGTGTCCACAATCTCAGGGAGTCCATGAATTCCTTGAAGCCTGCCCCACAATTCCAACTAAGAAACTCTAGTCTACATATCAAATATTTGAGCATGTGTATCATTCTTGACCCAGAAATTTCACTAATGTTTCTGTGTCTTGAATAAAATGTCACATGCACACAAAGGCGACATGGAAAATCTCTTATTCAAGACCGAATGTGTTGTTTCTGTGAAGGTAGGGAGTCCATGGGAGCACAAATGCAGAAAATAGCCAGCTTGTCTCGACACGCTACAACTAGTCAGTGCCCATCATAAGATATGTCGCTACATTGTCCAAATCTGGACTAAAGAGCCAGTTTGGGTGTGATGTTTGGGGGAAAATGAAACTATCCCGTCTCCTCTTCTCTCCGCCTCCAGTGGAGCAGTTCACATAACAGTGGCTCTAGCTATAGTGCAGAAATACCAGCAGAGTGAAGCAGGAGTGCTGTGCAGACACCATCCTTTCCACATGAGGATCACAGAGAGAAATTCACATACAGATGCCTGGACCCAGCCCCATAGATTCTAACTCAACATAACTGAGGTGGGGCCTCATTTAACTTTGTCGGTGACACACATTCAGATTTGGAAATCTCTGGGTGGGATGTGCCACCCAGGTCAGGGCACTAGGGATCCTAAAGAAAGCAACGTGACTATTGAGTACAATAAACAGGAGGGTGGTGAATGATGATCTGGGCCTCACATGGCAGGGCTGTGGCCAGGCTGAGTCCATTATGAGTGGACCTTCTGAAGCAGCCTCCAATCCTCCAGCCAGGTAGTCCATGATGACCCCTCCAGCAGCCTCGGTGCTGATGTGGACAAGGAGACCTGCGAGTGGGGTTCATCCTGAGCACCTACCCAATAGTGCGTGTGCCCATGAAGAAACTGCCCTCTCCTTTAGGAAGCTCACCCCTTGTCAGGGGCTGCCCATTCTGGCCGTTCTTTTCTCCTCTAGGGAATAGTGGTCTCTGTACCTCCCCTTCTGTGACCTACAAGACCTAGGGAAGCCCATAGGAGAATGACAGTGAGTGCTAAATCACAGAAGAGAGTTCTGTGATGGGGAGATGGAGAAGAGGTGCTAGATATTGACCTGAGCGTCTTGTGTCTGAAGCTAATTTTTAAGGGCAAATCTTGGTCATTGACTTTTATCCTCCCCTCCACCATGGCTGAGATATTCTTGTTGGCTCCCCAAGGAAGGTTCGTTGTACTCTGCTATTCATTGCCTATCTCTCAAGTGTTACAAAATGTTGTCTAAACACCACTGTGCCCATTTATGTTTGGAAATCTTGTTTTGAAATAAAGATTTGTCATTTATAAGACATTTTCAGGAGCGTTGTCTCATTTTCTTTGTTGAGATGGGAAAGTGGGGTTGTAGTATTTGTTTTTTAGACGAGGGACTTCAATAGTACTAGTGAGAAATGGAGCGAGGGAAACCAGGCTGATGGGTGCTCTTCCCAACTTCACCGTGGGGCTTCCAAGGTGCTCAGGGAAGATTCCATCTTTTACTTTGTAAAAATGGAAAAGATCGTGGAGAAATGGTCCCTGGATGTTTTCCTGGCTGAGGCCCAGAAGAGGTGCAGTCACTTTCGCTCCCATGCTAGTATTCCTTGGGTGAGAATTCAGGCACAGGCCATGCTTAACAGCAGCAAGAGCTGGGAAAGACAGTTCTTGACCATGCAGCCCCTTCCAAGAGCAACTTTGGAGACCCACACATTTGTGGGGGATTCAGGATTCGCTTACTGCAGCAGTTCTGCTGGGAAAATCAGGAATGGGTGACTGGCCCATTCATTTGACGGAATCAGTACTTACTATCCCCTTTTTTAGTGCATTTCCTCAAGAAAACTTGTACTATAAATACTTCCTCTGTCCCTTTCATACGTATATAAATCTTTTTAAAAGCCAAATATGTCTCTTGCCAGCATTACAACCCAGGAGTATTTTTTAAGGACCTGATAAGAGCTGTGTCTTTAAAATGCAAACCTCAAGGAAGATAAGGTCCCCAACTCTGTCTCCATGGGAGTTTGGGATAGGTTTTAGGCACCTTTGAGCTGAAAGGACCTGCTTGTCACAGACATATGAGAAGTTTTCTTTTTCCTTTGGTACAGGCAATTAACTAGCACGGATGGGCACCTTGACTACCAGGTGAGTTTAGGATGCACTCTGAAACAATGCACAGCAAATGGTGCTGTCAAGTCCTTTTACTTGAGGCAAGTGACCGTTCATCTTGAGAATGCGCGTGTAATGGCTTGTATCTGTTGAGCCATCCGGAAAGACGAGCTTCATTTCTCTCTTTGCGATCTCATTAGGGGTTCCTGTGATGCACAACACTGTCTTGGCTTAACGGTTATTCAACAACAAAGCTGTTCCTTATTTCTACGTTTGTGGAGAGCATTTCCTGGGTTGGCAGGAAGTTTTATTTTTAATCCCCTTCCCCAGCTTGTTAGAAACAGTTGGCCAAGGACATGGTTATATTACTCCACCAAAATATAACGATAATCATGGTCCTTCTGATCCTATTTTTGAACAACAGCACTGTTACCTAACATGAACATGATACTCCTTTACAGGTAAGATCCCAGGCATCTGTTTTCATTTTCAAGTTTGTGTGTATTTTCTGATTTTTCTATACTTTTTATGCATTGGTTGTGTAACCTAGAAGAGCTACAATTTCTATTTTCTTTTCCTTCCTTGGAGAAACCATATGCCCACTGGTAATATTAATTGATGTCATGGCTGGGCATTAATTGTATCCTAGGATTTTACTGAAACTTCTTCTAGTATTTCAGTTAAGGGAACATGATACACCCTTTCCTTCTAATCTCCTGGTTGTGGGCGAATCTCAGTTCTAACCCGAAAGATCTCAGGGTCTGGAAAGGACCAGGGATCCAGGACACAATCTCACCGCCCCTAGTCGAGGCGACACCTTTCCTTGATCCCTAACAAGAGTGAAGATAAATGGGAAATTGAGTCCCTGGTGCTAGCGGCCAATTTTCCTGATGCAGCACCTTGTAACGGCTAGAGGAAGCACAGACTTGTAAGACGTTCCCTAAACTTGACAGCGCGTAGACTCGCGGGAAATAGAGTCCTGGTATTTGTCCGGCTCCCTCGGGTGGGCCCGGGCAGGCGGACTTCCGGCATCCTCCTGCGCATGTGCACTTCTTCCTGTGTGCGTGTTCGCGCACGCGCACTGGTCCGGCTTCCTGTGCGTGCCCAGGTCACCGCTCGCCGTCTCCGCAGGCTTTGGCCTCTGGCGGGCGAACATCCCGGGACCTGTAGGGTTGGACGCCGTCCGGCCGGGTTGGCACCCAGCGGGCGTGGGCTGTGCGCGCAACGGTTCGCGTTGGTCGGGCGGGGGCTCGAGCGCGACCCCGGAGCCCGCGGGCTGGGCCGTGGGGCCGGACGGAGGGCGCGGGGTCGGCGGGGCCCGGGCCCGGTCCGTCTGCACCCGCGGCGGCTCGGCGGAGACTCGGACCGTGCGGCCCCGGGAGGCCGAGTTGGGCCCCGGGAGGGACGGTCGCCTGAAGTGAGTGTGTCCCGTAGGCCGGGAGCCGGCTCCTCGGGAACTGGGGCCTGGTAGGGGGAGAGGAGGGGACCCCGGTAGAAACACGCTGGTGGAGCAGTCCCCGGCCCGGGCCTCGGGAGCCTGGGGCGGAGGAGCGAGTCCCCGCTGGATAGGTGGTGGGCGTGCGGGCCTCGAGGCGGTTCTCGATCTTCCCGCCCGCAGTGAGCAGAGCTGCAGGGAACTGTCTCCTGGCCGAGGAAGCGAGAGTGTGCGACAGGGAGGGTCGAGCGCTCCCGGAGATGCGCGCGGCTGTGCTGGAGGGCAGGGGTGCTCTGCTGTCGGGTGGGCGCTGCACTGGGACTCGTGAGTTCAAGGTTTTCTGGGGTTGTAGGGCCACAGGTTGCCCTGTGGACGTGCGGTGTCCACTCCTCCCTCCACACCCCAACACCCCTTCTTGTTCCCCCTGTCCTCTCCCGATTCCAAATGTGTCTCTAAAGGTCTACCAGCACCTTTGTTCTCTGATCTCCGCGTGCACTGATTCCCTCTCAGTTCTGCCCTTGTGAAATCACACCGTGCAATGCAGGGTAACTCCGTGGGTGGGATTGCTAACAAGTTTCAACTCCCGAGCCAGATGTTCTGATTTCTGTATTGCAATTTTCTTAATGCAGCGGTAACCATGTTTAGTGAGACAATGTAGAAACAAAGTCGTGCCTTCATACACATTTCTCTCATTTTTTGAGAGCTCCTATTCTCTGTTCCTGTGGATTCTTTGATTTTAAGAAATTTAGAGAGACAGTAAGAAAATTTGTAAGCAGTAACATGGGAATTTTTTTTGGAGGGGGGCTGAGGAAGATTAGCCCTGAGCCAACATCTGTTGCCTATGCTCCTCTTTTTGCTTAGCCCATCTTTCTCCACTTTGTATGTGGGACACCTGGCACAGCATGGCTTGATGAGCGGTGTGTAGGCCTGCACCCGGGATCCTAACCCGCGAAATGCAGGCTGCTGAAGTGGGGCACGGGAGCTCAACCACTGCAGCAGTGGGCCAGCCCAGATTGTTTTTTTCCACCTGTTGTTTAATGGTAGCAAACTATATGAAAAAGGAGTCAGTGTGTTCACCAACCACAGTAACTTGTCCAGTAACCTCCTGATCATGTTGGAGTTACACGCTTCAGGTGTGTGTTCTGCTATCACACTTTCAGCCCCTCTGACTGTTCACAGGGTGTCTTTTCTTTGAGCTCTCCTTGGTGCTGGTTATGCAGGAGGTTCCTGTCTCTCGGGCCAGGTCACCCAGGGCTTCAATTACTTGCTTCTCCTCTCCTAGGTCCACTGTTAACAGTCTCTACACTTTTCCAAGAACAGCGGAAAATGAGTGAATCCCAGGTGAGTTTTCCTGTCTGTGTATATGTTCCCCCACCTTGTTTTGTAATGCATTTTAGTAGGTTTAGAAGGATCCATACTTTAAAATGGGAACGTAGAGTTAGATAAAAGACACAATCATGTCAGGTACAGTTCTGAGAGTGTGATTGGCACCAAGAATCTTCATAAAGTTCCTGTGTGTAGGCACTGTGATACTTTAGGGTGCTGAAGTTGAGCTGAAAACAGGACTGATGTTCTTGACAGTCACAGAAAAAGAAAATACCATCCATTATGTGGTTTGTATTCACTGTAAGAAGATACCATTGTTGTTACTTGTGGGGTGTAAAGATTTCCTAGGATTTGGGAAATCTTTCACAAAGTTGATAAACTGAATAGCTTTCCTAATAAAACCATTACATCATGCAATGTATGGCTTCTCCTTGTTGCTTACCTAAGCAGGGGGCTTGCTGCCCAGGGAGAACTTGGTGCATGGGATTTTTCCAGGCACCAAAATACTGGGACCCAGGTAGACCTATTCCCATTTTTAGTGTGTAATCTAAAGATAAAACCTAAGTCACGGAGGAATGGCCTGCTCATCCTTCAGATATTTTGTTAGTCTGTTTATTTGGGTTGCACAGTGAACAGTACAAAAAGGTATTCTCTAGTAAAGATGTGCTTACTTCCCATCCCAGTTCAATTCTCAGTGTCTTGGTTTGGTCCTTACCACTTTCCTGAATCTCTTGGTAAAGATGAGCAGTGACCTGATTTTAGTCAAAACGAGGGGACATTTTCCAGTCCTACCTTACGGTCACCCTTCATCTGCCTTTGACATCTGTTACTTCCAAACTGATATTTTCTTCATAGAGTCTCGCTTCTCTTGGATTTTAAAACAACTTATCTGTAAATATTTCTGTGTGTATCTTTAAATGATAGGGAGTGTTTTACATGGTGGGGATAACCCACTATACCATTCTTTCTTATCATTTAATATCCGGTGTTGAAAGTTTCACAGTTTTCTAAATGTTTTTTGGTTTGATCTTTTCCATCAGGATGCAAATAGAGTCCATATGTTGCAATTGGTTCTAAGTCTTTTAAATCTTTAATAGTAGCTCCCCCTGTATGTCTTTTGGATTATTTCTTTGGAATTTATTATTTGAAGAAATTGGGCTGTTTATCCTCAGTTTCCCACAGTCTGGATTGTTGATTGCATTACCATCGTTTTAACTTGAGCACATCTTTCTAGTCCCCGTTCGCCTTGTAAAATCCGTAGTTAGATCTGGATGTTCACTCAGATTTATGTTCAGTGCTTCTGGCAAGACCCTCTTGTCTGTGACATTTGTGTACTTTCTCCTGGAGGCCCACGTCACCCTCCCATCTTTGTTTTTGTGACGTCAGCATCTACTGACCATGTTTATGGCTGAGATCCACTAATTCATTAGGGGAGACGCAAAGGTCACCTGCTGCTTACCACTTCTTCTCATTTACTATCTAGAATATTTTTCTAAAGAAAAACATCTATCTGGTTCTATGGTTCGTACAGGAAAGAAAATTTTCAGAATATTCAGTAGGCTCGTGAGCAACAGGATTTTTGTTTGTTGCATTTTGTCTTCATGAGCTTCTAGGCTTAAAGGTATTTTAAGTGTTTCAGTACACTGACGTTGTTACTCTTTCTGATGTTGGAGGGGGTCCATCTTTGACCGGGGGAATCCCTTCCAGTCGGTTTCTGAGTTCTTTTGAAACATCCCCCATATATTTGACAGCATTCTTTTTTATTCCACATTTTATTTGGAAAAAACTTCAAATTTACAGACCAGTTGCAAGGATGGCACAAAGAACTCCCATGTTCCTTTTGCCCTGATTCTCCAGTTTCTGACATTTTCCCACGTTTGCTTTATCAGCTCATCTCTCTCTGTGTAGATACACACTTTTCCTGAACTGAGAGTGGATGTCGTATGTCATGCCCCTTCACCCTGTCGCGTTTCAGATTGTACCTCCTACGATCGAGAATATTCTCTTACATATCCTGGCACAGTCTTTAAATTCAGGAAATTTAACATTGATGTAATACTTTTATCTCATCTATAATTCATCTTCCAGTTTTTCCCATTTTCCTAGTAATTTCCTTTATAGCAATTTGTGAGTTCTGATCGAGGAAGCAGTCCAGGATTATAAACTGCATTCAGCTGTCATGCTTTTTAGGTCAGTTTAATATGGAATAGTTTCTCAGTGCCATTATAACGTTTGAAGAATACAGGCCACTTATTTTATAGAATTCTTTGAATTTAGGTTTCCCTGTTGCTTCTTCATGACTTGCTTTAGAGTGTGAATTTTCGGCAGGACTGCTACAGGATTAAGGACTCCTGTTAAACATATGGCCCAGAATAGAGCATCTCCTGGAAGAGTTCCCAGTGCGCTGGAGAAGATGCCTGTTCTGTCTCGGAGGCTGGCGTGTTCTGTGAATGTCAGATCAAGGTGGTAGTGTTGTTCAGGGCACTGCATCCTTGATGATCTTCTGCCTACATGTCCCCTCAGTCGTCAGAGTGGGGAACTGAAATCTCCTGCAATTGTGGTTTACCTACTTCTTGCAATTCTGTAGTTTTTCCTTTATGTATTTTATTAGGTATGTGAACATTAAAGGTTGTCGTGTTCTATTGATTGATTAACTGCTTTGTCATTGTGAAATGGCCTTCTTTACTCCTGGTCACATTCTGTGCTGTGACATGGACTTTCTCTGATGTTTATACAGCGATACCAGCTTTCTTTTGAGTAGTGTGGGCATGTTGTGTCTTATTCCATCCTTTTACTTTTCACCTATTTGCATCTTTACATTTAAAGTGCATTTCTATAGACAGCATATGGTTTGATCTTCCTTTTTTCTCCTACCTGACAATTTCTGCCTATTAATTGGGGTGTGCAGACCACTTACATGTAATGTGACTACTGACATAACTGAGAGCTTATAGTCTGTTGTCTTTGTTTTCTATTTATCCCATCTTCCTTGATCCCTTTTCCTTCTTTGTTTTCCTTCCTTTCAATTGAGTATTTTTTAGACTCCATTTCACATCCTTTGATGGGCTGTGAGCTACAACACTGTTGGTATTTTAGTGGGTGCTTTAGGGCTACTGTACGCAACTTTATAATTTATCCTAGTTTATCTTCAAGGAATATCCCATAGCACTGTTAATCTGGTCCAGTATAATTTTCATTTCAGATGTTGTAGTTTTTATCTGTAGAAATTCAATTTGAGTCTTTTTTTATATCTTTCCCTTCTCTACTCAATTTTTTTGAACATATGGAATACAGTTATAAACTATTTTAATGTTCTCTACTAATTGTAGCATCTTTGTCAGTTCCAGGCCCATATCAATTGACTGATTATTTTTTTATGGCTTGTACTTTCCTACCAACTTCCCCCAATTTCCCAACTCTTTCTCCTCACCTCTGTGTCAGTTCTCTCTCGCTGCTCCATGGCTGGAATGTCTCAAGGCGGTAGCTGTAGGGCTCACCTTGTTTATTTCCCAGCTGTCAGGGATTACTCCCCTTCGTTGTCTGATCATCAGTGTCTTGAAAACCATGGCTTTATATATTTTGTCTGGTTGTTTTGGTGTTGTTTCAGGTGCAAGGGTAAATCCAATCCTTGTTCATCTTTTCTGAAAGGAGAGGTCTTAATGTCTGTATTTTGAGTCACAGTTGGAAAGCCTTTCCCCACATCAAGGTTATGGAGAAATTCACCCATGTTTTCTTCTGCATGGTTTAATTTTTTACATTTAGGTCATTGATCTAGTTGGAGTTTATTCTTTTATGGTATAAGATTTGGATACAGTTTTATCCACGTCCAAATGATTATCAATTACTGTAACACCATTTATTAAAAGTCAGTTCTACCGATTATTGTATTATGTTTTAATAATCATAATGTAATCATATATCGACATAATATATCATATAATCATGAAAGTCTAGTTCTAGACTTTGTGCTCTATTCCACTCATCTATCTCAATTCATGTGCCAGTACAAAACTGTTTTAATCACAGAAGCTATGTTTTAAATCTGGTGATGTTTAGACCCCCTTCACAGTTTTTTTTTGGAGATTTTACTAGTTGTTCCTGATTTTTTTCCCCCTCATATGAACTTTGGTGTCAGCTTGTCTAGTTCCAGGAAAGAGCTTTTTGGTATTTTTATTGGAATCATATGTTTTTAAAGTAATTTAGGGTAACTGGCATCTTTGTATTATTAAGTTGACCTATCCGAGAACAAAGGATATTATTCCATTTGTTCAAGTCTACTGCCATGTCTTTCAGGAGTGTTTTAAAATTTTCCTAGTATAGATTTTGTACAATTCTTGTTAAGAGTGTCATCTTTTCTGTTGCTACTATAAACTGTGTGTACAGTTGAATTATATCTTCTTACTCTTTTGTGTAATGACGGCTGTTGCTTTGTGTGTGTTAATTATATACCCTGTTACCTAACAGAGTTCTTTTATTGAGTTGGTGTCATCAGTGACTCTCTGAGTTTTCTAGGTATAGTACATCATCTACGAATAGAAATGTTTTCTACTTTTTCTTATCGATGATTATGTTTCTAGTTTTTTTCTCTAATTGGAGATAATGAGCATTTTGCCTTGTTCCTGATCTTAGTGGGAATGTGTCTAGTGTTCCTCTATTAAGTAAAATCCTGACTTGAGAACTGAAGAGGACTGAAACATAAATGTGTGTGTGGGTATGTGTGGATAAATGTAACCCTACATATATGCTTGTATGTGATTGAGATATGTGTGTGTGTGTATATATATATATCACATGTACTATACATATTATGGTGTGTGTGTGTGTATACACCTATATTCATGTTAGTGAAGTATCCACCAATTCCTATTTTCATGGGTTTTTTTTTTAATCAGGTATGCATTTTGAATATTGTCAGAGGCCTCCTCGGTGTGTTTGGGATATAAGATTTTTCTTCTTAGCTGTATTATAACAGCATATCATACTAATGGATTTCCAAATATTAAACCAGTCTGTAGTCTTGAAGTAAGTCCTACTTAGCTATTACATATTATCTTCTCAATCTGGTATTGGATTCTGTTTGCTAATATTTTATTTGGATATGTGTGTTGATATAAGTGATACTGGTATGTAACTTATTTATTGGATTGACCAGTCTGCTAACCCCTTCCACTCCTTGGCTCCTGGACTAAGTGGACCCGGAGGGTATTACTCCCTGCAGTGGTCTTTAAAGCTCACTTGGCTGCCCTTTGGATAGTCCTGGGTGTCCTGCTTTGGGTTCTCACCGGTCAGTGGAGCAGCTCCGCTTCTCGATCTAGGGAATCTCAGCCGTGGGATCTACCCAGCTGTGGCTGTATCAGTGCATGGAAACTCTCTGTTGATGTATCCTTTATAAACAGCAGGGTAAGGGACATGTTTGCTGAGCATTTCCCTTCTGAAATATGAGTTAAAGATTTGCAATCCCTAGAACCGCTCCTCACAACAGCACTGAAACCCCTTGTGGCTGGTCTTTCAGTGAGGTTTCCCTATCCCCACGTTCTTCTTTGTTGGATTTCCTGGGTTTCACTGGAGTACATCTTTGAAGGCTTTAAGGAAACTGTTTTCCTCGGTAATAAATTCTCTTGCTTTTCTGAAAATACCTTTGCAGTGTCTTTAGGTTTCGATGATGGTTTGGCTTGGTATACAGCTCCAGGTCCAAAATCCTTTTTCTTTCAAAAGTTGTGGGCAGTTCTCCATTGTTTTCTCTCAGCTGAGAAGTGGAATGTCAGTTACCAGGGTAACTAGTACATATTTTTTTCTCTGTAAGTTTAGGATTTTTTCTCAATTTTTCAATTTTGGCTATTTTATCAAGAAATCTCTGGGTCTCTGTATTTTCCCCAGTATTCTTGTTGACGTTAGACGGCTCCTCACGATTCTCAGCACAGGCATAACTTTCGGTTCTGCTTTTGATGATCTTTTTCTTCATCCTCCTCATTCTCTCTTTCTGAAGATATTGGATTTCTTGGATCTGGTCTCACATCTCAAATTTTGTCTAATCAGTTTGATTTCTCATAGTCTGAGAGATTTTCTAAATTAGATATTCTATGCCCCATTTGTTATTCAAGCTTCTTACTTGAGGATTTTCTTAAAATTCAATAATCCAGCCTTTAATTTCTGAGTATTCTTTGATGGCTGTTTCTTAGCAGAATGTTCTCATTTTAAGGAAGCAATATCCTGCCTGATTTACTAAAAAATATAAATCAATAGAAGAAAATGTAAGTTCTTTCCTTTATGAATTTGGTGGTATCATTGTTGAGTGATACATCTTGATGCTTATCTTTCATTTACACTGTTTTCCTCAATTACCTGGCGATTCTTGATTTTTTCATTTCGATTTTTGAGAGAATGATTACTGATAGATAATGTGAATATACACTACTGACCCTGTTTCACTCCCCCTTCCTTCATGGAGGGGATGGTTGCAGAGCTCTAGAAGTGAGTGGGCAGGGATACGTATTTAGAAAGACACCACTTCAATTTTTCCAATTTTTTTTTATTGTGGTAAAATACACATAACATGAAATTTACTATCTTAACCATTTTTTAAGTGTACAGTTCAGTGTTATCAAGTACATTCATATTGCTGTGTAACCATCACCACCATCCATCTCCAGAACACTTCTCATCTTTCAAAACTGAAACTCTGTCCCTGTTAAACAGTAAGTCCCCATTTTCTGCTTCCTCAGCACCTGGCATCCACCATTCTACTTTCTGTCTCTGTGATTTTCATTGCTCTAAGTACTTCATCTAAGTGGAATCATACAGTATTTGTCTTTTTGTGTTTGGCTCATTGCACTTAGCATAATGTCCTTAAGGTATATCAATGTTGTAGCACATGTCAGAATCTCCTTTTTTTTTTTTTTTTTTTTGTGAGGAGATCAGCCCTGTGCTAACATCTGCCAATCCTCCTCTTTTTTTTGCTGAGGAAGACCAGCCCTGAGCTAACATCCATGCCATCTTCCTCTACTTTATATGGGACGCCGCCACAGCATGGCTTGACAGGTGGTGCGTCGGTGTGCGCCTGGGATCCGAACTGGCAAACCCCGGGCCACCGCAGCGGAGCGCGCACACTTAACCGCTTATGCCACCGGGCCAGTGGCAGAATCTCCTTTTTTAAGGCTAAATAATATTCTATTGTATGTATATACCACATTTTGCTTATCATTCATCAGTCAATGGACACTTGGGTTACTTCTGCGTTTTAGATGTTGTGAATAATGCTTCTATAAACATACGTATGTAAGTATCTCTTTGAGACCCTGCTTTCATTGTTTTGAGTATATGCCCAGAAGTGGAATTGCTGGATCATATGGTAGTTCTATTTTTAATTTTTGAAGAGCCACCATACTATTTTCCACGGTGGCTATACTATTTTACATTCCCAGCAACAGTGCACAAGGGTTCTAATATCTCCAACACTTGTTATTTCCTGTTTTTTGGTAGTAGCCATGTATTTTCCCATTCTGTGGGCTGCCTTTTTCCTCTGTTGATAGAGTTTTCTGATGCACAGAATTTGTAAGCACTTCTCCATTTTGAACCGATGGTGAGCTGTCAGACAAGGTTAAGTCGCTCAAGTTGCTTTATATTGAGAGTGGTTTTCTAAGAGTTGTCTTTAGGAAAAACATCCACACCCAACATGGATAGACCTGAATGTATGTCCTGGTTTGCCTGAGACCGTCTTGGATTACTCCTAATTTCCTGGTGCCCCATCTAGTTTAACATGTGTCCCAGTCAGAAGTTTTCTGGTTGGACAGTGAATGTGTGGCCACCCTAACTGTGGACGTCTGGAGTGTGTTGTACTCTGCTATGTGTGTGGCCACAGTGCCCATAGCCAGAGAGTTCTTATCAGATTCAGCCTTCCCCTGGCTGCTCTGTGTACTGGAAACAGGGAACGACTCAAGCTGCTCAGGTAGTCACGTGGTTAGTTTCTCTGTCAATCAGTCACTCTACTGCCCACCGGAACCCGAGGCCCTCTTGACAGTCCTGGAGATTTTCCAGGGCTCTGCTGGAGAGTCTGGGCTTCACTTTTGCTGTGGCCCGATATCTGCCCTGCGTAAAGCTGTGTGTCCTGCAGCTCTGATTTCTCATCTTCTACTCTACTCCATATCTCGATAATTTCCTCAAAGAAATTTCTGCTGTTGGTAACCTCTGTGTTCTAGTGCTGTATTTTGTATTTCTTTGAATTGGACTTTTTGGGTTTTTATTTTGTTTTTCAGGCGGGAAAGTAACTGTGTATGTTTAGTTGCTCTCTTGAAGTAGAACCAACTCTTACTGTCAAAAACCTGTCCTTAAGAAAGTCCCTTCTTGGTCTCTGCCCTGTTCTCCTCTGCACCCTTCTTAGATATTAATGCTGCTTCAGTCTTTGCCATTCGCACTTTTGACACCGCATCATCTTCTTTCCCCCTTAATCTTGCAGAATACACGACTGAACCTGTGAAGCCTCATCTGGCAACGTAAAATTAAAATAATTTGCTTCCGTTTTGTTATCCCACTCCACCTGGTGTACATCACTCTAACACCTCGGGCATTCGGTCAAGCAACAAATATTTATTGTTGCCAGAATGACATGTTTGAGATAAGATATTTGAGATAAAAAAACTGGAAGGAAGTAGAAAACTTAGTCATGGAAATAAAACTTGAAGGAAGTAGAAAGTTTAGTCTTGCAGATCTCTAGAGATAGCGGGCTGTGAGAATAAAAAGTCAAAAGATCAAAGAGCTGAAAGAGGACAAGGGCACCTGAGCAGAGCATGGGAAGGGAGAGACCAGGGACTGAGTCCTGGGGGGTGCCAGCACGAAGAGTTCTGGGAAGAGGAGGACCAACCAGCAAAGGCGACTGAAGAAAGTGACGGAGTAAAATGCATGCGTTTATTTTCATGGTATCTCCTTATCCGGACAAAAGCTTTTTAAGAACAGGAATGGTGTTTTACTCATCTTTGTCCCCCAAAACTCAAGATAGTTCAGTTGTAAAATCGGAACTCATGTTTTTTTGGTTTGAGGGTTTTTGTTTTTGGGGGCGTTTTTTGGGACACGTTAAAGAACCCAAAGGCAGTTGTGTTTCCAATGTGGTTGTTTCCCTTCTGTGATTTGTAACATAAAATCAGTTTTCAGTGTTCATGGTTAACTTTACCAATGAACTTGATACATTCTTGTCCCCATGTGCTTTCCCCATGTCACCCATTTCTGATCACGGTGCCATTACAGGGGCCAGTGTCATTCAAGGATGTGGCTGTAGACTTCACCCAGGAGGAGTGGCAGCAGCTGGACCCTGATGAGAAGACAACCTACAGGGATGTGATGCTGGAGAACTATAGCCATTTCGTCTCGCTGGGTGAGGACAGCTTGCTTTTTGAGTTGCTGCTATATGAGGGCTTTCAGTGTAATGATTTTATCCTTGAGTTTGAAGAAACTAGGTAAAAAGACCATTTAATTCCTTTTGGGCACTGAGTAGTGTATCTTTGTTTCTCCAACAGAAGGTTCTAATTTTGATAAGGTGAAAAGCATGGCACTTTGTCATGCACCCTCTGAGGCAGCACCTTCTACTCAGAGATCTGGACGCCAAGCAGATGGTCCAATGCACTCCATTTCTCATTCCCAGGGTACGACAGCACCAAACCAAAAGTGATCGTCAAGTTGGAGCAAGGAGAAGAGCCGTGGGTAGCAGAAGGTGAATTTCCCTGTCAAGGTCATCCAGGTAAGTTAGTAGACTGTTACATTTGTACAGATGGTCCCTCTGGACCCTTGCGAGTGACTGGTACATGTATGCCTCAGATACCCTAACTCGTACCTCCCAGTGCCCGGTAGCCTTCCCTCCAGCACAGACATTCAGGCTTCTTTTTTGATTTTACATTTGATTTACATTGGATGGGTTTTCTGTGCTTTCCAGTACCAAGGAGCCTTCCCTTCCTCGTTGTGCATTCTCCGTAACTTACTCACGATCATCACAGAATTCTTTTGTTTTCAGGCATTCAAAATCTGACAGAAAAATTAACTCGACACTTTCATGTTCATTCTTCTTTTCCTCCGTTTTCTTTCGCTCCTTGCTGTAAAATGCCTAAGGCTGGTTTTCTGCCCCCAGTTTCGCTTCCCCGTCTGGCACTCAGATACCAAACCTCGCCCTCGCCCTCGCCCTCAGCTGGCAAGGTCAGTCACTGCCGTGCCTGGTGGGCACTGTGATTGTTCAGCAGTGCCTGTCACTGTCCTGAGGTCCGCCCTCGGTGGATGTGGTGAAACGACACGAGTCTTTTCCTCCACTGCTCATTCGTGTCTTGTCTGCCTCTCTGTCCGGTGTCCACAGTAGATGTTCAGGAAGTGTTTACTTCATAAGTGAATTTCTGTTCCTTCTCCTGTCTTCATTAGGAGTGCCTCCTAGGGCCTATTTTCCACTTGTGTAGTTTTCTTTGTATCCCTTAAAAGCATTCATCTAGTCTCAACTTTTAAGACTTTTTTATTTGTGTTTATACTGCTCATCCGAAGTGGTTATGTGATGCCTTTAACTTGTATTCTACTTGACTCTTTACCTGACAGACGACAGTGCCAGTGACAGTCCACTTCCTTTCTCAGAATGTCTGATGATAAACCATGAACTTTCTAAATCGCGAACTTTGTGTGTTTTCCCCACCTCCCTGTATTTCTTACATTGTACTAGTCTTCTCTCCCAGGTTACTGTTTTTTTGTCTTTTGTGAAATGCCTTAAAATTTTTCTGCATATTCTCAGTTATTTCTGACATTGGTATAAACAATATTTTCTCATACTGGATTACAGTGAATCCTATTTGGAAATGGCAGAATCTGTCAGAGACGTCCAATTGATCTCATCACTAGACTGACAAGATAAGCCTTTAAATATTCTGTTTCTTGTTAAATGGAATTTAAATTCTCCTCTCCTGAAGTCCCACACAATATGATGCAATATTGCTTATCAGAATTAATGTCCTCTGTTTTCCCAAACTCTTGTTAAATGCCATTTGGTCTAGATTTCTAAATGTCTTCCATTCAAACTGTCATTGTCTTTTTTGTACACTTTAGTTTCCCAGATCATACACCTTCCTGCCTTCCTTAATTGTAGTAAAAAAAAATAAAGTTTAACATTTTAGCCATTTTTAAGCGAACAGTTCAGTGGTGTTAACTATGTTCACATTGTTGTGAAACAGAATCTCTAAAACTTTATCCTTTAAATTGGAGCTTAACACTTCAGCTCCTCCTTGAAGTTTCCTTCCTTACTCATTCACCACACCCATCTTAATATCTCTTCCACTTAGTGATCATTACCACAAGAGTTAGAGATGATTGTATGCTCTGATATGTAATGGCATATTTTTGTTGCTGGAGCTTCTTTCTCTATCTGAATTATAATCCTCCAAAGAGGAAGACTCTTTTTACCCGTTTGATATGTAACATTAGGCACTCTGTAGATTTTTCATTGACTAACTGAAGGTAAATGAAAGACCTCTATTTATTCGTTGAGAGAGAATTTATTCTGAACTACAGGTTCTGATAAAATATATAGGGGTTAAGAGTGGAACCTGAAAGCACCTCATTTGATTCAGATTAGGAGCTACCACTTTAATTCCTATTTGGACAGATTCAAAGAAAATAAGAAACTCATACTTTCCACAAGTGCAGGTTTTAATTAGGAAGGGAGAACAGAGCTGCATGAACTAGTTTAAAGTTCAGCTTTCACCTGGAATATTTATATTCAGATACATGTTATACAACTTTGTGTTAAAGCTGTTTTAAATTTTAAGGGAAGGAGAAATTCAAAAAGCTGGGAAGAGATTTGGTAAGTATTTTAAAGCTGCCCCCAAAATATAGATAGGTTTTGAGTATAGCCAACACTGAAAGTCAGATCGAGTGAAAAAGAACATGCGCACAGACTGGTTGAGAATAAGCAGGGCACAGCGAGGCTTCCTGGAGCAGAAAGTCTCTGGAAAATTAGTGCAATGCTTGTACAAAGGGTCCTGGACCCAGTTCCATCATGTGTGTGTGTGTGTGTGTGTCTTCGTCTTCCTCTTCCCCACACCACCAATGACAGCAGAGTATTCGAGATTTCAACTCAATTCTGACACTACCAACCTGCACAGTTTCTTTCCTGTGCTTCTGACTGACTACTACAAACTGGAGGTTCCAAAGACCTCCTCCAATTCAGGCTGCCAATTGCAAGTCCAGGTTGTGACCTGCACTTCTGACCCACTGGCTGTAAATCAGAGGTTCCCATGACTGCCTCCTCAGATTTGATTAATTTGTTAGAATTGCTCACAGAACTCAAGAAAACTTACTTACTCACTAGATTACCGATGTATTACAAAGGATATTAAATGATATGAATCAACAGATCCAGAGACATGTAGGGCAAGATCCTGAACAAAGGTCCTCGTGGAGCTTGGGGCCCAGCGCCGTGGCACGTGGAAGCGTTCTGGTTCCCCAACGTGGAGTTCTCTGAAAAAATGGGCTGATGAGCTGTCCTTTTGGGTTTTTATGGAGCTTCATTAGTAGTCATGATTAAGTCATTGGCCATTGGCAATTGATTCAACTTCAAGTCCCCCTCCCTGGAAATCAGGGGGTGGAACTGAAAGTTCCAGTCCTCTGATCTGGTTCTCCTGGCAACCAGTTCCCACCCTTTGGTGGGGTCCAAAAGTCACCTTCATTAACATAAACAAGAGACACCTTTAGCACTCAACACTTAGCAAATTCCAAGGGTTTTGGGAGCTGTGAGTCAAAAACAGGGATGAAGACCAAATATATATTTCTTATAATAAATCACAGTATCACAGTTAGTTTGAATATATATTTTGAATCCAGGTAATGAAAAATCTTATTGGTGAATGATAACTTTTCTGTTTTTTTCCTGTTGGTATTTGGGGCATTTGGGCTCGGGGATGTTGTAGATTTCTGAGCACAGAACTGTCAGGGTTGCATTCAATGTGGATGAGAGCAACTGACAGTAGTTCAGAGGATCCAAAAATTTGTCAATAAAAGTTGGCATTGTAGGGCCAGCGTTAGGAATCCGATAGTGAAAGTTTTACACCAGATGAAACCTGGGAATAGGGAACTCTTGTTTGTATTCAGAATTAAGTTATAGTATTATGTCAAGAACATGACTGGTTTTAGGAAATTTATGTCAGAAAATTGAAAGAAAATTAATGGTGAAACTTAATGAGCATGTATTTTGTGTCACAAACTATCCTAAGCAGTTTACATGTACTGTTAGTCCTTTCCTAGCCCTGTTATTTAGGCACCGTTGTCTACATTTCAGATGAGGTGACTTGTCCTAGATCCCCCAGCCAGTAAAGTGTTGGAGTTGGGACTGGACTTGGGGTTCCAGTGCTCTTAGCCACATGCTTTGTTGTGCAAACAACAGGTTCAGTTAGTGTTAATAAGGCTCTTAGAACACCTCAGAGAGCTCATCTTAGTGGAAAGATCTCTTGCCATCTAGTCTATCTTACATTTCTTTCAGACATTCTTGTGCCTGGATCTCTCCTTCCAGGTGAATGTGAGTCAGGCCTCGTTGTGGGACTATATCTAAACGTGAGGAAATTTGAGCTTTTAGAATGTTTCTTTGGATTTATGTGCAGAGTAGAAGGGCAAAGATTTTGGAAGGATCTAGGCTGGTGAGGATGTTACCATAGTAATCTTGGTATGAAGTGACATTCTACAGATGCGATTAAGCACTATCTTAAGATACGATTTATATCTTAATAGAAATCATAATCTCTTTTCTCCTAAATGTAATCCATACATAAATCTCTCTTTTGAATATACATCTGGTAATTGTTCCTGTTCTCCCACTGACCCTATTTGCCCTGAGTCCTCCCTTTTCTGCCTGGATCTTGCATTCTTTCAGTGACTTTGTCTTCTCATCATCTTTTGGGTTTATTTCACCTTTTCTACCAAAATTTTGAACATATTTGTAAAGTAACAAAGGTTCTTGTATTCAGTGTGAATTTACTCTCCCTTTTGCCACTATTGCTGAGTTCTTTCCCACCCTCAACCCTTCCCCATGCCTCCCCAACCCCCTTGTGTGTGTCTGTCTATCTGTCTTGTATGATGAATCAAGGGGAAAAGATGACTATACACTTGTAATTATTTTTATTTGTGGAGATTGGCCCTAAAGCCAGAGTCAATCCCACAATAGGGCACTCGAGTACCACTCCCATTCTATAGCTGGTATCTTCAGATTCACATGGCTTGTTTAATTTTATTCCTTTTTTAGAAGTTTGGAAAGTTGATGACCTGATAGAGAGAATCCAAGAAAATGAAGATGCACCTTCAAGGCAAGCTGTTTATATCGACAGCAAAACCCTGATTGAAGAGAGAGAGAATGCGTTTGATAAAACTTATAATATGGAAACAAGCCGTGTTCCTTCAAGCATAATATCTCATAATTGTGTCTCATGTGGAAAGAATTTAGAATCTACTTCAGAATTAATTATTAGTGATGGAAGTTATGCAAGAAAGAAACCTAATGAGTGTAGTGAATGTGGGAAAACATATGGAGAGAAACCCTATGAATTTCAGAATGAAGAAGGCTATTCTCAAAATGAAGAAAATATTCTTCAGAAAATTAATATTTTGGATAAACCCTTTGAATATAATGAATGCATGGAAGCCTTAGGCAATGAAGACGTTTTCATTACTCATAAGAGAGCTTACATGGGGGAGAAGCCCTATGAGTGGAATGATTCTGGATCAGACTTCATCCAGATGTCAAATTTTAATGTATACCAGAGATCACAAATGGAGTTGAAGCCATTTGAATGCAGTGAATGTGGAAAGTCCTTCTGTAAAAAGTCAAAATTCATTATACATCAGAGAGCTCACACAGGAGAGAAACCTTATGAATGTAATGTATGTGGGAAATCCTTCAGCCAAAAGGGAACCCTCACCGTACATCGGAGATCACACTTAGAGGAGAAGCCCTATAAATGTAATGAGTGTGGGAAGACCTTCTGTCAGAAGTTACATCTCACTCAGCATCTGAGAACTCATTCAGGAGAGAAACCCTATGAATGTAATGAATGTGGGAAAACCTTCTGCCAAAAGACACATCTCACCCTACATCAGAGAAATCATTCAGGAGAGAGACCCTATCCATGTAATGAATGTGGGAAATCCTTCTCCCGAAAGTCAGCTCTCAGTGACCATCAGAGAACGCACACGGGAGAGAAACTTTATAAATGTAACGAATGTGGGAAATCCTACTACCGAAAATCTACCCTTATTACACATCAGAGAACACACACAGGAGAGAAGCCCTATCAATGTAGTGAATGTGGAAAATTCTTTTCTCGAGTGTCATACCTCACTATACATTATAGAAGTCATTTAGAAGAGAAACCCTATGAATGTAATGAATGTGGGAAAACCTTCAATTTAAATTCAGCCTTCATTAGACATCGGAAAGTACACACAGATGAGAAACCCCATGAATGTAGTGAATGTGGAAAGTTCTCTCAGTTCTCATATCTCACTGACCATCATACAACTCTTTTAGGAGAGAAACCCTATGAATGTAATGAATGTGGGAAAACCTTCCTTGAAAATTCAGCCTTGAATGGGCACCAGTCACTTCCAAAAGGGGAGAAGTCCTATGAATGTAACATATGTGGAAAATTGTTCTCAGAGTTGTCATACTACACTATACATTATAGAAGTCATTCAGAAGAGAAACCTTATGGATGTAGCGAATGTGGGAAAACCTTCTCCCATAATTCATCCCTCTTTAGACATCAAAGAGTACACACAGGAGAAAAACCCTATGAGTGTTACGAATGTGGAAAGTTCTTCTCTCAGAAGTCTTATCTCACTATACACCATCGAATTCATTCAGGAGAGAAGCCCTATGAATGTAGTAAATGTGGAAAAGTCTTCTCTCGTATGTCAAACCTCACTGTACACTATCGAAGCCATTCAGGAGAGAAGCCCTATGAATGTAACGAATGTGGAAAAGTCTTTTCACAGAAGTCATACCTCACTGTACATTACAGAACTCATTCAGGAGAGAAGCCCTATGAATGTAATGAGTGTGGGAAAAAATTCCACCACAGATCAGCCTTCAATAGCCATCAGAGAATTCATAGGAGAGAGAATATGAATGTACTTGATGTGGAAAATCTCCTGTGAAGTCAGATTTTATTTTAGAAAACCCTCTGAATATAATGAATATGGGAAATCCAATAGGCAGTCAAATGTCATTGTTTGAAAGTTCATGTTTCTGAATGAGGAAGAACGTTTAGGCGTTAGAGTCATTTTAACCTGAATTTTCACAGAACAGAATCCCTAAGAATGCAACAAGAAGCAAAGCCTTCAGTAAAACCCTACAACTCATTGGACATGAGATAATTTCTACAGGAGTGAAACTTTATAAATATTTAATATTTATTTTGGATTCAAATTGTATTTACATATCAGGGAATCATGTCAAGCCGAAATCTGTCAAAGTGATGAATGTGGAAAAATATATTGTCTTGGAAATTGTTATATTAAAAGCCATATTTCTGATGTAAAATCACGTTTATAGGAAAGCTGTCAGAAGCTATCAGCTGTGAATAAGCCTTCATTGTATAAAATGTAGTTTTCAAATCATCAGGAGTTGATAATGAGTACAGTAGCATTAAATACATATATGGCAGTTTCTATCATGTTTTAAAAATGCAGTCTGACAATTCTATGCAATTCTATGCAAGTTTGGATTTGAGTAATTTGTGAAAAGGCAATATTCTTAAATATTTGAGTATTAAGATGACAAAATGTACTAACACGGGATATATTGTTCATGAGATGTTTGATAGGTACAAAATAGTTAAATACATAATTTTCTATTCTATAGAGGCATTTACAAATGGGTTTGTAATGAATGCCTCATAAGTAGAGGAGCCAGTGATTTTTATAAGGTTTTCAACTGCATTTGAGTGAAAAAGGTTTTAAAACATACTATTTTCATAAACTACACATAACTAATTTAGAATTAAGTCTGTTTCAATGAAAGAGGGCAACTGTACTATACTCCCAGCTCTCATACCACTCTTGTTTTATAGTACATAGGTCTGAGTGTACAGTGTGCCACTATTCTGTAACTCAAATTTTATCTGTACTTTGATATGAATACAGTATTATTTTGTGCACTGCCCCTTAGTCTAAGTATTTTGGAACAAAAAATACAGGTTTCTAGCAGACATTTTTGGTTGATTAACTCAGTGTCCTTTCTCCCCTCATTCCTTCCTGGAAGAGTTTGGATGTCTAGCATTTCTCCACACGACACAGAGGGTACAGCCTGATAGGCCTAAACTGATCATGATAATCCCATTCTGATTGCCAGTAACTCATTTATAGTGGTCACAGGACCCAAACCTGGGTAACCAAAATGGGGACGGTTTCTGGAGAAAGGATAAAACAGTGATCAAATTGGTCTTACTCCAGGAATGTGACGGTGTTTTAATAATCAAAACTCAAATCAAAACTAATACATCCTGTGAAGAAAAGTAATCTAGCATGCAGGAAATTCATGTGGTAAAGTCCACATCCATTTATGTTCTTAGCAAACTATGGCTAGAAAGGGACTTCATTAGTTGGATAAAGAGTATCTTAAACTACAACAAACAGCATACCTAATGGTGAAATATTGAAAATTTTATCCCAATATCAAAAATATAGACAAGGATATTTGCTATCACTAATTTTATTCAGTATTGTACAGAAGGGCCTAGCCAGGAAAGTCAGGGAAGAAAAAGAATCAAAAAGCATAAGGATTAGAAAGAACTCGTAAAACTTATTTGCAGATGACATGATTTTGTACATAGAAAATTCTGAGGAATATACAGAGAATTAACGAGTAAATTTAGCAAGGTCCCTGCATTCAAGGTCATATGCAAAAATTGTTTTCTAATATACCAGCAGTGAACACAGAAAATAAAATTTTTAAAAGCAATACCACTTAGAATAGCATCAAAAATCCTCAAGTGCCTAGGGGAAAAAGTACCTAACACCATATTTTCAAGAACTGTATCCAAAAATTTAAAAATGTTACAAGACACAGGGATATATCTTGTTCATGGATTCTGGGACAATCTCAAAAAGATGTCAGTTTTTCCCAAATTAGTTTATATATTCAGTGCAACCTTAAAGCCCTAGCAAGTTCTCTAATCAAAATTAAACTAATTCTAAAATTCATATGAAAATTCAAAAGACTAATAATAGTCAAGGCTTTCTTCTAGAATAGATAGAGCTGAAAAAGTTTTATTGCCAGATATCAAGACCTATTATAAAGCCATAGAAATTATGATGGTGTGGTACTGGCACAAAGATAAGTTGATCAGTGGAACAGAATAAGGTGATAATGCAGTGTAATGGGGGAAAGGATGTTCTTTCCAATAAATGCATTGTTAATTAAATTTCATAATTTAATTAATCAATTGAGATGGATTGCAGGTTTAAATATGAAATGTAAAATAATAAAGCTTTAAGAAGAAAGCTTTGGGGACTGTAGCCTTAAAGTAAGCAAAGTTTTAAGACCCAAAAAGCACTAAACCATAAAATAAATCTTGTTAATTTGGATATATTAAGTTTAAAAGCATGTTTATCAAAAAGACACCATTAAAACAAATAGGCAAACCACAGAGGGGGAGAAGATATTTGCAATTCATACATATGAGCAGACTTGACTGTCAAAGAGGGGTTGGTAAACGTTTTGGTAAGGGGCCAGATAGTATTTGGGGCTGTACAAGCTAGAAGTTCTCTGTCACTACTCAACTTTGCTACTGTAGTGTGAAAGCCGTATACAATATGTAAACAAATGAACATGGCTGTGTCCCAGTAAAACTTTATTCACAAACACTGGCGGCAGTTGATTTGGCTGGCAAGCCATGGTTCCTGACCTCTGATCTAAAATAAAAAACATTTACAAATCAACAAGAAAAAAATAGAAAATGGGCAAAAGAGTTGGACATCCACTTCACAAAAGAGGATAGCCAGATGCCAAGAAACATATGGAAAGTTATGTTAATTTTATTAGTAATCAGGAAAATGCAGATTTAAAGCACCATGTGGTACTACTACCCACCCACTAAAAGGTTAAAATGAAAAGTATTGAAAAAACATCGTGTTGGCAAGGATGTAAGCAACAGGAACTCTCCTATGCTGCTGGTGGTATTGCCAATTGATAAAACAGTTTTGGAAAGCTGGGACTTAAAGCTGAACATATGTATACCCCTTTAACCCAAACCTAGCAGAAATGCACATATATGTCCACCGTGCATGTATATGTCCACCAAAGGTCATCTGCTAGAATATTCATGGCATAAAACTGCAAAAAAAAAACTGAGAACTTTCTGAAGGCATATATGCAGTAGAATGAACTTAGTGGGATGTTTCCACCAGAGAATACTGTAAAGCAATGAGAATGAGCGAACTCTAAGTACACGCAATAACATAGTTCACTTTCACAAGCAATGCTGAATGAAGGAATCCAGACACAAAAGCAAACGTACTGTATGATTCCATCTGTGTGTATTAGAACACGCAAAACTTGTCTGTGTAGTTAGAATTTGGGACAGAGGTTAGCCTTGGCTGAGAGGGGTATGTATCTGGTGCTGGTAATCTGTTTCTCCGTCTGGGTGCTGGATATCTGAGTGCTCTGTGCACTTGAGATATGTGTATTTTTCTGCATGTATATTATACTCTCATAAAAAGGTTTTTAAAAGTGTCTACCATTTTTGTTGCTCAGCACTCTTTTGCCATATTTTTCTAGATGTATATGAATATGCTGCATAACAGGAATTAAATGGTAAGTTTTGCATAATTCTGTGCAGGAAATACTCTTTATAGTAGTTTTAATGGCAACTACTAAGATTTCCTACACTGTGACCTTAAAGCTTAATATAATGTATATTTTAAGTAAAATATTTGAAAAGGTGACAGGGCCATTACGTAGTTTGTCATCCTACCTTTTTGCATATATAAATGGATTGGAACTGCCTCTTCAATAAAGAACTGTGTGTCAACATTTCACATTTTCTCAGACAAATTGTTTTTCACATTTCTGAATTCAGGATGCATCTTAACCATTACCCTATCTTAGGGGTGACCTTTCTTTGAGGCAAATAAATATAATGGTGAGTTTGATTTGATGAAAAATTATATTTAAGAAGTTTTCAGGTAATCCTTTCAGCAAATGTAAGATACACGGTTAACAGCATAAATGTGAACAAGTGAAAGAAACTGCTAAGTGTGGGGAGGGGGAGGGCTGGCTGAGTTTAGGGCACAGCAAGGAGGAATTGTGACATTTGATGGGGCAGACTCTGTGTATTTATGTCACCTTTTTATACTAGATTAAGCGTGAAGTGTGAACAGATTAACAATGCCTTGCTTGCTGAAGGAGGGGTAATCAAGCAGTTGGTGGGACTTGGAGGTGTGAACGCCTCACACTGGCTAACTGTTCTCCAGTCCACTGGGCTCAACCAGGAGGTCAAGCAAGGCTGGGCTCCCTCTTCCGTGCCAGCCACAGCCTGCAGCAGCCCGCGCCTTTCATCATGAGGTCCCCACTGCATCCCCCTATTTACTATTCCTCAACTTGGGGTCAGTTAAATTTTCAGATTTTTCTCTCAAGTCTCTTAAATGCGTCAAAAGACATTAATGCAAGACCTCCTACACCTAAGGACAAAAAATTCTGCCACTGTTCCTTGTTCCATCCCAAATTATGCCCAGATATGTTGTGCAGCCAGCTGAACTCTTGAGAGAGGGGAGATGACCCGTGGCACAGCACTGTTAGAGCAGTCCCCAAATTAAATTATGTGAAGGCCACACAGATATAAAAAAGTGTAATTCCCCGCAATTGCCACAGTGGTAATCACGACAAAAAAATAAATGTCCTTTCACCTTAAATCAAACTCCTGTAGTTCCAGTCTAATTGGTGAACTACCATTGAATTGCTGACTTGTGGGCTCCTAACAGCATGAAATTCACAATGTCTAGCTTTCAATAAAACATTACTAGGCATGCAAAGAAGCAAAAAAATACAGCCCATGATGAGGAGAAAAGTCAATAGAGACCCAGAAATGACACAGAATATGGAATTAGTAGATAAGGACATTAGAACAGCCATTATAAATATACTCCATATGTTCAAGAAGAATGGAGAATTTAGAGGCAGGAGTGAGGAACCCAGGACTGCTCCAAACTCGGGAGTTCTGAACTAACAGGGCTGGGAGATTCAATTTAAGGGGCGTGGTCTGCAGTGACGGGCGGGACTCGAGTCAGGGAAGAGGGGCAAGTGGGGAGTGGGTTTCTGAGGCCTTGCTCAACAGAGGCGAGACTCTGACTTAGGGGCTGTTGCCTGCTGTGATAGGGAGGTGGCAAGTGGGTGGAGACTTGCCTTAACTCCATGGGAGAGGTTAAAGAATGCGTGACTATGTCCTGGGGGCGTGGCCTGTGGAGGGTTGGGGTGGGGCCTAACCGTTGATGGGGCTGGGGTGGGGCCTAACCGTGGATGGGGCGTGGCTATGTCCTGGGGGCGCGGCCGTTGTGAGGAAGGTTGCGGGCGTAACATTGGATGGGGCGTGGCTCGGGCCAGGGGGCGTGGTCATCAGTGGGCGTGGCTCGCGTTCGAGGAGGAGGCGTCCAAAGCTCCCGGGGCGCTCAGGTGAGCACTCTCGGGATCTAACAGTCTGGGGAGCCCAGGCCGGTGACCCGGCTGCGGGTGGACGCGAGGGTGGCCGGAAGACACGGCAGGCCTGACAGCAGGCGAAAAGTGACTGAGGCCTGGGCGTGCGGCGCGGGGTCTCGGGGGCGGTGGGCCTGGCACACGTGGGCGAGGGAACAGAAGAGGGGATTAGACGGGTAGAGCGGGGTTGAGTGGGGTGGGAGGCGGGGCCTGGGGAAGGGGCGTGGCTTCTGACCACCCTCCTTGCCCCCATCCCAGCTGCCCGGCCATGTGGCGCCCGCTGGTCCTGCTGCTGCTGCTGCTGCTCCCTGCCGCCCCCGTCCCCACCGCCACTGCCGCTCCCATCCTGGACGCCAAATCCCAGGACGGCCTGCAGAGCCTACTCCAAGGTTGCAGTCGCCTCTTGTTGGAGTTTGGGGAGAGGAGGAGGACAGAGAAGTGGGGCAGGGGCAGGCAGCAAGAGAGGAAGTCTGAGGGACACAGATAGGGAGAGACAGAGACAGAGATATGCAGAGGGGTCCGAGGGACAGAGATGGAGGTACAGCAGGACAGACAAGGGGCAGGAATAAGGAGATAATGGGACAGAATAGAGACAAAGCAGAGGGACAGGGATCCAGATGAGAACAGGTGACAAGATTGGGGGTGGACTGGCTTGGCCGTGATGCTCAGAGCATGGAGAGGGTGGAGAGGGAAAGGGGTGGGAGGGACGTGGGGCCTGGCCTGGAAGGCATCCGACAATCAGACCACCTCCTGTGAGCCCTCAGGGCACCTGCTGCCTCTCTGCCCCTCGGACCTCATTGCCTCCCCAGGACTACCACTGCACAGAGGACCAGGGGCACTGGCTGGAGAGGAGCACCCTTTCTAGCTAGCACCAGGAAGCCCCTCCTGGAGCCCAATTTGTTCCTCTTCACCAGGTGCCCAAGCTGGAGGAGACAGAGGGCCTTGGGTGGCCGGAAATCCAGCCCCTCACTCTGGCTGTCCTCCTGGGCCGTGAAGTAACAGCCATGGCGGTGCAGCCAGCAGCCTGGGCGGCGGGCCTGCAGCTCCCTGAGAAGCATCCGTGGCCACAGGCCATCTGCGACAGGCTCCCCAAGGGGGCCCAGCTGGCAGGGGGACCTGAGGCCTCCCCCACCCCGAGGGGCCCACCCCAAGACCCACTTGTTGTCCTTTCCCAGACTCAGCAGCAGCTGCAGGGCCTGGGAGTGGGCATTAGAGCCCTGGCAGGAGATACACGTGTACCCTCACCAGACCCCACCCCAGTGCCACTGAGAAATAAAGTTCTTTCTTACAGCCAGCTGAGCTGCTTCCTTTCGGGACCTGTCCCCAGTACCTGGCCCACTAAAATGATTTCTTTTACCACTCCTGAGGCAGGAGCGGGGTCCTGTTTCCTCCTGTGTTGTACAATGCTTACCAGGGCGCGTAGCTCACTACTTAGTTCTCAAAAACGTTGCATTGTCGAGAACAGACATGTACGTAGTTGAGTCCACTGGGTGCTGTCTGGAGGGATGCCCTCCCTGACGCTCCAGCCCTAGGCTTCCACTTCAGTGTTGCCTAGAATGGTGATTATGTGGGACTGTCTAAAAATGCTAGAGTCCTATGGTCCTAATGCTGAAAATTGAAGATAACACACACGTAGATGGGTGAGTGAAAATAAATGGGTCATTCACAGAGGAGGACACTTACCTCTATTTGGATGTAAAGAAGCCCTATTAAAATAAAATCTTGAGCTTGGAAGCAACCTAAGTGCCCATCAAGGGACGAATGGATAAAGAAGATGTGGTATATATACACAATGGAATACTACTCAGCCATAAGAAACGATGACATCCAGACATTTGTGACAACATGGATGGACATTGAGGGTATAATGCAAAGTGAAATAAGTCAGAGGGAGAAGGTCAAATACCGTATGATTTCCTTCATTAAGTAGTAGATAATAACAACAATAAACAAACACATAGAGACAGAGATTGGATTGGTGGTTACCAGAGGGGAAGGGGGGAGGGAGGAGGGTGAAAGGGATAATTTGGTACATGTGTGTGGTGATGGGTTGTAATTAGTATTTTGGTGGTGAACATGATGTAATCTATGCAGAAATAGAAGTACAATGATGTACACCTGAAATTTTTACAATGTTATAAACCAATGTTACTGCAATAAACAAAAAATTAAAAAATAATAATAATAAAAAATAAAATAAAATAAAGTCTTGAGGTTAAAACGATGACGTGTTCCTCTTTGGCTCTGTTCTGTATTCTGGGGTCCATCAGACTCCAGGCTGTGGGTATATCTGGGTCCTATGGCAGCATGGCCATGTCCAGCTCTGTGCCAGCCTGTGAGCGTCCTGGCCATTGTCTGGATATGTCCCTGCTTGATCCAAGCTGAGCAGCTGGCCCAAGGTGACATCTGCCTAGCTGGTGGAGCGAGGCGGATATGGGGGCATCAAGACAAGGGGCAGGCGGTGACGCAGCGGTTAAGTGCCCGCGCTCTGCATCGGCAGCCCAGGGTTCACAGCTTCGGATCCTGGGAGCACACCGACACACTGCTTGTCAAGCCATGCTGTAGTGGCATCCCATATAAAGTAGAGGAAGATGGGCATGGAAGTTAGCCCAGGGCTGATCTTCCTCAGCAAAAAGAGGAGGATTGGCATTGGATGTTAGCTCAGGGCCGATCTTCCTCCCCCAAAAAAAAAAAGAAAAGGGGCAGGGGGCTGCACTGGAGGCGCAGAGCAGGGCTAACGTAAGAAGGCGATTTGGGTGGGCGAGACTGGTGATGATGAACCGGGCTCAGACGAGGATGGGGGGTACAGCGGCACCAGGGGCCTGGGGTGAACATGCCCCATGGAGATATAAGGCAGCAAGAAATGGAGCCCAGATGGGGCAGGGGGAGCCTGCAGGAGAGGTGATTGTTGCCCTGGCCCTGTCTTCAAGCCACAGTGTGACTCAGGTTGTTTCTGGGACCCCAGGCTGATGGAACCTCTAATCAAATGGCAGCTACTTCTGCCAACAGGTGAATGCCGCTCCAGTATTAGCAGGACCTGGTCTTGGGACCCTCTGTATCCTTGGGGCCTGTGCCCAAACCTCCAGACAGACAAGCGGGTCCAGCTGCTGGGCCATTCTCTGTGCCAGGGCATGGCTCATGCTGTTCCACTGCCTGGACCACCCATCTCTGACCTCATCTCCGTCCCTGAGGAATGGAAAAAAGTGAGACATCATTACAGAACTTATAAGAAGCTATTATGAACATTCTATACCAATAAACTTGAAAATCTGGATAAAATGGACAACTTTCTAGAAAACGCTCACTGAAACTGACACAAGAAATTGAATCTATAGTTTAAAATCTTCCCACCAACAAATCTACAGGCTCAGATGACCTCATGAGTAAATCCTTCTAAACACTTTAGGAAAATATTAATGGCAATCTTACATAAACTCCAGAGAATAGAAAACTTGTGTTAAGAAACCAGAATAGCCTTGTTGCAAAATCCGAAAAGTAAATTTCGAGAAAGGAAAAATTTCAGGCTAATGTCTTTCATAAACATAGACGCAAAGATGTTAGCAAAATGAATCACCATCATACGGCAGATAATTGTAGGAATGATGACTTAATTAGGTAGAAACGCTCAGCCATAAGTTGCTGGCCACACAACTATTCAGGTGAGCAACAGTGGGATCCAGTAACTGAAGACACAAATAAGAGCTCACATGTTGTAGAACTTCAGTGCTGGATGAACTGAGTTAGACATCATCACGTTTTCTTCAGGTGAAAACAGGACTCAGACGAAATGTTAATTTTACACAAAATAAGGAAGAAATCTATCCACAACAGATATTCTTTTCTTCTAGTCTGGTTTTGATCGGCTGCGAGACTCAGATTTGCTGACAAAGGCGCCACTCCCGAGGACCTCACCCAGAATGGAGCCTGCCTGGGGGAAAGAATCCACAAGCCACCCCCCACAGAGGCGAGCCCACGGGGCCTCTCTCCAGAGGGAGAAGCAGGTCGCTAGTGTCAATGCTGACGGATGTTTGGTTTATCATCCCTTCTGCCTGTGTGACGGGTTCCAGCCTTCATGGTTGGGAAGAAACCTACCTAGGCTCTTATTGCCATGTGTGCATGCTCAAGAGGAAGGGGAAGCAGGTTTGGGGTTCCATCAGGAGCAGGGAAACTGCATTCCATAAGCGGGGGTGTGGTACCCGAGGCTGGTAAAGCCAGCGGGGCACTGGGGCAGTGGTGTGATGGTGAGTGCCAACAACTGGCTCTCCGAGTGAACATAAAGCCCTGATTGATAGCATTTGCCAGTTTCTATCGTGTAAATAATCCTGCTCTGGCCGATCTAAAGCTACCGATGTGGTGTGGACCGGCTCACAAAATCCTTGAAAAGTTAAGAATCGGCTCTCAGGAGCCAGTAGGAGCCACACCTCCAGCACACCTCGGACTGCCGTCTTCACAGATGGTGCCATCTTCTGCTTCTCATCTCCGCAGACGCTTTGGAAGCAACATGCATCCAGGCCTTCCTGCAAAGACCTGGGACAGGCAGGAAAGGATGCTGCAGCCACGGCTGGTGGATTGAAAGATTGTTCTGGTGAGAAAAAGCTAACAGGCCTGAAGTCTGAAGTTCTGCAGAAGGCAGATAAGGGACAAAATCATAATTTCACAATCGTCTGCCTTTAGAGTCTTAGAACGCACACTTTAGAGCAGTAATGCCAAGAGGTCCTGAGGCAGATCACTGGGAGTCAAGGCTTCCCATCCAAGGAAATCGGCACAGCAGGTCTGGTCTCCTGAAGCTTGTCATAAAGACTTCAGAAAATGGTCCCCAGAGGGTCAGGTCTCACCTTGAGTGAGTCGCTTGCAATGGAGGGAACTCTTCACTTTTCAGGCTCATGGAAGGAGGCCGGTTCCCGCTCCCCACCTTTATTCCTGCGAGGACGCCCTGTCTGTGGGGCTGAGGCCACCGTAATGGAACAGAGCTCTTCAGGCCCCTTCTGCTCCCCGGAAAAGACAACTCCCCGTCCCCCCGCGCCCACTAGTGCACACGGTCAATGACTTGCAGGTCCTGGGCATGCAGCTCTCCCATGCAGTTGTGGCATCAGCTCACTCTATGCTTTTTTTCACTAAAGTGTTACTATTCGCTATACATCAGTTCCCACTGACCATATTTGGCATGCATGATGCCCAGTGGTCTGGGAAGGAGGTGCCAGGGATTCAATTACTTTGTTTACAAAACTGGTTTTCCCCACTGGGAAATACATTGGGATCTGGAAAAATCTTATGCCATGGGCAACACTTGTCTCCCACACCTCATGTTTCCAGAAAGGGATTTTCACACCTTCTGGGAAGTATGGAGTGTCTTCGCACGCCCTCGGCCCTTTGCTCACCTGGCTGCACAGTGTGGGTGAGTTTAGAGGAGGCACTAAGTACGGCTGAGCAGACCCCACCCTGTCTTCCCAGGGCTGCCTGTCCTCAGGTCCTTCCCCTCTCCCTCACAGAAGACCCTCGCGGTTTCCATGGCACCTGTGCCCGGCAGGCGCAGAGTATTGGGCAGCCCACGTGGCCCCAGGTCCAGGTAGTTCCTCCAATTCAGTCTTCTTCATAATAAAGCTGATGTTGTCACTTCTACATGTCTGACTCCTGTGTGTGTGTCCAGTGGATGCAAAGTTAGGGCAGGAAGAGAAGGGTTAACTGCCTTCCACAAGCCCCCGGATTTGCATGGTTATGTACACTGACTGCATACGTGAGTGCGTGTGTCAGCCTCAACATCCTTGCTCTACTCCATCCCACCGCTTCTCTCTGACAATGGTGCCAAAACTATAATTGCCCCCAGAACCTGC